TGCCCAGCGGAGCTTTTTCCCCTTCTTTATTTGGGGGTGGGAGTAACCCCTCATATATGCAAAATAGATGTGATTCCCACTCTAATGTCACTGATAATTTACTACCTGTGGAGAAAAATCTGTCTTCTCTTTTGTAAGAAAAATGGATTGGATTATAAGGTTTATTATGTCTTTTAAATTATGCTGTGTTTTTAAAATATTGCAGGTTGTGCCAATCCCATAGCTCAGGTCTATTGGTACCATTTTTTAATAGCATGTTCTCACTTCATGTCTGTTTCAGATTTTGGTAATTATCATAATATTGCAACCTTTTCCACAATACTATTGCACTTAGACGATAAAGTATAGTATAATCACAATTTTTATAAAACCAAACTGCACTGCAAATCGAGGCAAATCTGACTTACTGAAACCCTATGTAGGGTTTCTGAAGCTGTAAATCTTTACAGCAGCCGACAGCCTCATTATTGTCTTGTGTAGTCACTCAGGGTTTGAACCACCATCCTTCTGGTTAGCACTTCACTGCTTAACTCATTATGCCACCAGAACATCTTATAATTTTTGTTTGCATTGGAAAAAAATTTAATTGTATGGCTTGCTTTAATAGTTGCTTTACTGCTGTGATCGGAAACCAAACCCATGACAGCTTCAACTTATGCCTATATTATCTAAAAATCACAAATGCCATTTTCTCTATAAGGCTAACATCCCAGAAACAAAAGAGAACACTCTATAAAAACTGTATTAATAAAAAATGCCATTTATCAAAATAAATGCTACATTACGAACAGGCGTGAGTATACATAACATCGTCTGTCAGCTAGATTTGGCTAGACATTCTTTTAAATAAAAAACAGCTTAAATATCAAGCATTGGCAGAACTGGATTCTAGCCTAACTCTGCCACCTAGTAGCTATGACCTTAAACTGTCAAAGCAAACAAATAAAAGCTACTTTAAGTCAGACACCGTGCTGGGTGCTAAGGATACAAACAGAAATAAACATGGTCCCTGCCTCAGATTGAGATCACACTCAATATTTCCCCTAGATTTGTTTCAGATTGCATTTTAGGTCTTCAAAGAGGAGAGGGAAAAGTTACTAATACTACTATGTATCTGCCAGGTACTTTACATATATCATCAATAAATAATCTTAAGTAAATATACCTATTTTACCAAGAAGAACCTAAGATGTGCAGCACTACAGACTTGTTTAAGGTCACACTGTGGAGTCCAAATCGGAAGTCAGGTCTTTTACCTGCACCAGTGCTTCCCAAAGTCAGGGAGGGGCGCTGGAATGATGGTGGTGGTGGTGTGTGCGCAAAAGTAGATAACTATATTTTATCCTGGGTTGTGGGCTCTACAGTACAGAAGTTTTAAATGGTGGGGTTGTGGCAGCTGGATAATTTTTGTTGTTGTTTTCTGAAGAGAGGGGTAAGTCAAATAAATTTGGGAACCCATGACCTAAATCAAGTTATCAAATAAATGAATAAGGGCCCTTAAGGTCAACTTAAGCAACTTTAAAAGGCCCTTGTAGTGCATGTATTTAAGAAAGGGCTTAAAGATGAACGAAAGAGCACTTGAGACCCAAGGGACAAGAGTAACAGTATGGTACATTCAGGGGATAATAAGTAATCTTGTATGAGTAGCATACTGTGCCAAGAAGCTAGGGCACAAAACTGAGAGGGCAGATTTGTATCAAACCATGAGTTTCAATATTTTGTATAACCTCTCTCTACATAAGAGCTCCCTGATCATGACTGCTGCCCACTACTGAATGTTCTTTGTCATTGTGACTTTAATTTACTTCTATTTATTTTCAATGCGTTAGCAATACTTTATTAATAGTGAATGTTTAATAGGTGCTGAGTAAACTCTAGGCATTGTTTTAAGCACTTTACATGTATTTCACTTCACGTTCATAATACCATGAGGTACGCACTAATATCAATTTAACGATGAGTATAGAGATGCAATTTGTATAAGATCAAACAGCCAATATGTAGCAAAATTTGGATTTAAACCCAGGCAATCTAGGTTCAGTACCTAAACTCTTAACCTGTGCCATATCCTGCCTCTCTAAATGGGGGGGAGGGGCAGAATCCCCCTTATTAAAAATCCAAGAAGGTGCCCTCGTGGTGTATGGGCTACAAGTTGTGTTGCTAACCAAAAATTCAGCAGTTTGAAACCCACCAGCAGAAAGCTTAAAGATTTGCAGTCTTGGAAATTGCTCAGAGGGTCAGGTCTACACTCCCCTTTAAGCCTGCTATGAGTTGGAGTCAACTCAATGGCATTGGTGGTTTTTTTTATTGTATGTTTTAATTAAAGTGTAAGCTCCTTGAAGACCAGAATAACTTTTTGTTGGAGGAGAAAAGGTTTCTAGCCTCAGCACCTAGGACAGTTCCTCCTACTTAGTAGGTATCCACAAATATCTCGTGAATAAAACAGCCTGAATTTTTTTGTCGGGCAGGGTCTGCAGCTTTTTCTGTAAAGACCCCCCCCACACACACACACACACACACACACTCAAATTGTTTGCCATCAAATCAAATTACAAACTCAATAGGACTTTCCCATTGGGTTTCCAAATCTTTTCAGAAACAGACTGCTACATTATTCTCCCCAGAAATGGCTATTGGGCTTTAATTTCTGACTTTTCCATTCCCAGCCACACTTATCCACTGCACCATCACGCTTCCACTGTAAAGGGCCAGGCAGTAAATATTCAGGTTTGCAGACCTTACGGCCTTAGCCACGTTTACAAAAACAAAAACAAACCGGACTCCCAAATCAAAGGTGGCAGTTTGCCAACACCAATGGCAGGTTTCTAACCAGGAGGAATGAAAAAGTTGAAATCGTTTTACGAAGATGTTGTGGTGACAATGGAGAATAGTTCCAGCAATGGCATAAGAAGTGGCACTCTGCCCCTTCCTTCTCTTTCTGTTATCATTCGAGGACAATCTCATCCAATAGAGAAAGCCTTAAGTATAAGCCATGTGTGCAATTTGCAGATTTTTAGAACTCACATTTTAAAAAAAAGGTTAAGGCAGCATTTTAATAGCAGGATCCCGGATGGAACGGTACATTACAGGTCGGCCCAGATTGAAACTAACAGCCCTTCCATTGGACAAAGATAAGGTTTTCTGCTGCTGTGAAAAATGAGTCTCAGAAACCCACTGGGGCAAGTCTATCTTGTCTTATAGGGTCATTGTGAGGTGGAATCGACTCAGTGGCAAGGAGTTAAAAAAAATTATAGATTTAACCTAATATATTCAAAGTACTATGGTTAACAAAAATTACCAATAAGATTGCATTTTTCCCCCAAAGTAAACCTTCAGTGGGCACCATTTGAATTAGTCACATTTCACGTGTAAAGTAACTTCCTATGCCCAGTGGCTACAATACTGGACAGCACAGACAACTGTACATCTCAACAGCCTACGTATCATCATATACAGCTACTGGTTTGGTACCAGCTCCTTGCCTGGCATACCATCTGATCTGGACGGAACTCTGAGATACTTAACAGCAGTTCAACACATCAATGTTTTCATTTTGGCTAAATGAAAATTTGGCTAAATTTCCACACCATTTAGTTTCACATACATTCTCACACCTGTTCTTCCTAGCAATCATGTGGTTTAGCCGTGTCATTATCTGTTTTACAAATGAGAAACTTAAATTGAGACAGCTAATAAGTGGTAGAAGTGAGGCAAAATATGTAAAGCCCTAGCTTCTAGTCAAACCTATTTTAGACCCAATAGCACCGCCTCCTTTCAGCGTTCCAATTTTGAATTTATCTGGGAGACTGGTCTGTCTCACCTCCCCCATAAAGACAAAGACTTTGTTCCTGACCATCTCCGGTGGCCCGTAAGGTTTTGCCAGTAGGCAGTGTTTTTCATTCAAAACTGAAGTTTCTGCTGTTCTTAATTTGCTTAAAAACAACAAACAAAAACGAATGCTTGGAAGATCCAAAGTAACAGTACATGATATATATTTTTTTCCTTCTTGAGAGTTAAATTTACTTCCAATATCATCCAAAGACGCGCGATAAAAAGGCAGAGAACCGAGGCTCATGTCGTCGCGTAGCGTCTGTCGTGAATGCGGTGAGCGCTCCCTCCATCATTCATCCTTGGGCCGGCCTTCTTAGCGGTCAAATGGGGAGAAACCACCGAGCCCGCGGCCATCTAGTCCGTTCCGACTCGGGTTGAACCTACCGGCCAGGGTAGAACTGTCCCCCGAGGTTCCCGAGGCTGGAAATGTTCACCAGGGCAACCAGCCTCATCTCGGTCGCACAGAGCAACTCGTGGGCTCGACCGCGCTACCGTGGGGACCGCAACCTGCCGCTTAACACGCGGCGCCACCCGGTTTCCTCCAATGGGAGAATGGGGCTGTCACCTCCACTATTCCGTTCAGCCGCAGGACTTTTAACATGAAATGGATAGGGGTCGGCTTCTCCTTTCTTCACCAACCCCGTTACCCTGCCGCCTGCACTCGCCGACGTGGTGAGGGAGGACCCCGGGGACCCAGCAGGCCCAGGTGGGTGCTCTCCGCCTCCAGACCCGCCCGACACCCAGCGGCGGTCGCGGCCCGCCGGCAAGAGCCGCCATCTTTCTCCCTCAGTCGGACCCCAACCGCCACCCGCCAGCCCCGGGGGCGCACGCCTCACCTTTCTTCGCAGTCTTTGCACTTCACCTGCAACGGGACCAGTTGCTGGAACAAAACCTGGCTCATAGTGAACCGGCGCCCGGCTCGTGCGAGGAAAGGGCCGGCCCTCCTGCGCTCGCCGGGAAAGCGACGGCGCCCTCGGCAAGTTTGAGTTTGGCGCTCGGCGCCCGCCGAGGAGGCGGGGAGACGCAAACGGGAGGGAACGACGGAGGAGGTTTGGACTCTGCCAGCCGCCGTCAGCTCCTTCCGGTTGTGCGCAGAACGGACGGCGGTTGCCGTGCTTCCGGAAGTCAACCTGTGTTTGCGGCGGGACGCGAGGCAGCCACGTCGGTTCAGGGAAACAGCTCTGAGGGAAGCCGGCAACCCTTGTCGTCGTCGACACCGGAAGTGGGCATGGATTATGGCGGCTTGTGCACCGACGCCGCCGGCAACGGGTTTTCCCACTGAGGGTAGATGTGGATACTATGTGGGGAAAAAGAAGCGATTCTGCAGAATGGTGGTTGCAGCCGGGAAGCGGTTCTGCGGCGAGCACGCTGGAGCTGCGGGACCTGGCGCGGAGGTCTGCTTTTCATCCTGTCCTCCCGGGAGTCGGAGGGCGGTGGGTCCTGGGACGCCGCTCTTCCCGGCATTCAGAAATGTCTGCTGTCCCTGGATTACTTGATTTTTCTTCTAATAATCGCTGCCCTGCCTTCTCTGGGGAACGATGGCGAGGCCCAGCAACAAGCAGTGTTTTCCTTTACTAAGTAAAACGCAGCCGCGACCACTGATCTTGATGCTAGATTTTCGTTTACTTCAACCACTGCTGCTTATGCCCGCCCATCTGTGCCAGTGCACTTGGTAGTTTAGGGGATCACCGATTGACGATCCCAAGGTTTCACTAATTGTGTTCCAATAATTGTTTCATAAGTGATAACCAGTTCCTATGAATGCGGTTCAGAGTAACTAACAGTATTATTAGACCTCCAATAATACCTAATAATAATAATTATTATTATATCTCCAAGTTTTAGAAAGCAACATAAAACTGAATTCTGGGGAAGGGGAGGATTGATTAAGGACAATTTTAAAAATTGACTCTCCTTGTAAGATTAAGAACAGAATGCATGTAATTGTGATAGATGATCGTTATACATATCATATTGTCAAGGAATATATATTTGTATATATGTATACTCCATAGGAGATATGTGTGTAAATGTGACATAAGAACAAGAGGCACTGCTGTCTGACTGCAGAGGATTAAAAGAATAAACCAAGTAGAGCAGCAGCTGATTTTTGCTTCCAGAATGTACAGTATTATTTACATTTTCTTTGCTAGATCAACGGTTTATCCTTTTAGGGAACTCAGTTCAAATATGCCCCTTGAGCCCTTTCATCTACCACTGCCCCTCATAACCATGGCAGTGCTTCCTATATTGATTTGACTGATCTGCATAGAGGTAAACAAACTGAGGCAAGAATGTTACTGTGTTTGGAATGTGGGAGATCTGGAACTTAATCATGGAAACTCTTAGAAGTACAATTTACAGTTGTACTGGCTGGTTTTTTAAGAGACCACTAAAGGTCTCAGTTAAAAGAAGAAATTATTTTTCTTCTCTGCTACAAGGTCTTAAATGTCATCGTACCCGATATCTGGTGACTGCAGATGGTGACAAGTAGGAGTGAGTAGATCATTCATTACAAACTGATTAGTATTCCTGGAGGAATGACATATTGCTTTTAGTCCTTTGAATCAAATCTGCAAACCATTTAACACCACTGATTTGATTTTGAATCATGGTCATCCTACTGAATATGTAAGTTTTGATGCAGTAGGGTGTTGTATTTGAATCCTTTTTTTCCTGTGATAGCATCAATTGTGCTCATATCCTATTTGTTCTCAGCTGGGGTGAGTTTGACTCCCAGGGGCAGTTAGCAATGTCTGAAGATACATTGGTTGTTACAACTGGGGTATGTCACTGCCATCTAATGACATAGAGAGGGTCATGCTGGTAAACATCCTAAGATACACCTCACCCCTGCGAAAAGAATCTTCAGCCTGAAATGCCAAGGTTGAAAAGTCCTGTCTCTAACCATAAATAGTAAATAGAAGTAGTACTGTTTCATCAAGTCATGTCGTTAGGATTTGAGGACTAAAGTATTTTTTAACATTGAGGTTGGATTTTAGAGCTAGCACCCAAAAGAGAAATAACAGTTATGTCAGAAATTATTGGAAAATCATTTAACTTTACCATGAAATTCAGTATACCTAGTTG